CGCGGCCCGGCCCGAGCTCCGGGAGGCCGAGGGACGCGGAGCCCCGAGCCCTGGGACGCCCTGTAGCCGCTGCTCCTCTCGGAAAAGCCCCTCTCCGCTGCTCCGCCGCCGTCTCCATAACCGCTTGCTGCTCCGCTGCCACCTTCTGTGCAGGACGCCCCGGTCCGGCGGCGGTTCGGTTCGCTCCGGGACAGCCAGGTTGGTGGTTCTGCGGTGCCGCCGATGCCCCGGGCGCACAGGCCGCTCCCGTGCCCGGTGGGTTGTGGGCGCCGTGGCGGGCGCAGCTCCGTGCTCCAGGGCAGAGGGCTTTGCGTCCCGGCCGTGGCGGGGGCTCCGCCGCCCCGAGGATGAAGCATCTGTAGAGGCGGACGCGGGTCCACTGCTCCACGGGGGCAGCCTGGGCCCAGCTGCGCCCTGCAGGAGATGGCGATGCCCGGGAGTGTCTTTTTTATCTTATTGTGCCCCAAGTAAAATAAACATCAGAGTTTGGGCTCGCGCTGGCTCTACAGGTTCAATGCAGAAATAGGTCTCGTTCTTCCAGGCAATAGTTGCTTCCTTCTCACCAGGGCCTGTCCCTTTCCTTTCTCTGGAGACACATGGAAGTTTCCTGTCCTCCTCTCACCAGGGGATTTAACTCTCCTCTTAGCTGAGCTCAGGTTTTATTGAATATCCATCTTTATGCGCAAGAAGGACTGAAACTTTATGGGCAGAAATCTGGTGTGGCATCATGTCAAGGAAAACACTGCAGGGAGAGGAGGCATCTCCTCAGTGCCTCCCTTCTCCGGTGCTCTAAGTTGCAGAGCTCGAGGAAGAGCCTTGGTACTTGACCAGGGAGGTTGAGTTGTGATCAGGCCATGCTGGCGTTTCCTCCAAGATCTCTACAATTTCCCTTGGTTGCTTTGGAGTCTCGTGCTTTGCAGTAAATGTGTTTATCCTGTTGAAGCTGGGGCCTGGCACGTGATGGGGAGCTTCCAGAGGGAAGCCTTTTAGCCAGCGCGTGTGCTTTTTGGAGAAACCTTATGTGAAAGCGTCGGGAAAGGCCTGGCCAGGAGCTCAGGAAGACTCCTGTCCCTTCTGCGGATGCTTTCTGCGCTTGAGAGCCGCCTGGCTTTCCCTGAGAACTGACCTGAGCTGTCTTCTTCTTTGCAGAGAGAGCTGCTCTGTTGCCTGCATCCCTCACCCGTTCCAGGTGTGTGAGCCCGTCGCAGCCAGGGAAAGGGAAGGGCCTCCACTTGCTTCTGCCTTCCTTAGTTCAACAAGAAGAAGAGAAAAGCACCAAACGCAGCGGCCAGCAGAGAGCTGCCACTGTTCTAAGGAAGAACCCGTGGCATCTCCGTCTCCTCCTCGCCTCCCAGGGTCTGCCCGCGGGCTGGAATTCCTATCCTCAGCTTCAGGATCAGCTCGAGAGAATCAGGCTCTTGGATATTTTTGCTTTGTACTTTTCACTCGAATCTTTGCAACCAAGAAGCTGAAGCCGTCCCTGCTAACCCCCTGTTTTTTTTCCCCCAAGCATGTCAGAAAGCTGGCAGCAGCCACAGCAGCAACCCCAGCAGGCGCCGCCGCCGCCGCCGCAGCACCACAGCGGGAGCGCCGCGCTGCCGGAGCACTCCATCCCGCCGAGCGCTGCCGAGAACCCGCTGGGCTGCGCCGTGTACGGCATCCTGCTGCAGCCGGAGCCCAGCCTGCAGCACCACCAGCACGCTGCCCAGGAGCCTGGAGAGCCGGCCCACAAATGCGGCGTGTGCGGCCACGACCTCGCTCACTTGTCCAACCCCCACGAGCACCAGTGCTTGCCGGGCCACGACCGCTCGTTCCAGTGCACGCAGTGCCTGAAGATCTTCCACCAGGCCACCGACCTCCTGGAGCACCAGTGCATCCAGGTGGAGCAGAAGCCTTTCGTGTGCGGCGTGTGCAAGATGGGCTTTTCCCTCCTCACATCGTTGGCGCAGCACCACAACGTCCACAACGGCAACGCCATGAAGTGCTCCATCTGCGAGAAGACCTACAAGCCTCCCGAGGCGGAGCACGCGCAGCCTCTTGACCCCTCGGAGAAGCCCTACAGCTGCTCCATCTGCCAGAAGACCTTCAAGCACCTCTCGGAGCTGTCGCGCCACGAGCGCATCCACACGGGAGAGAAGCCGTACAAGTGCACGCTGTGCGACAAGAGCTTCAGCCAGTCGTCCCACCTGGTGCACCACAAGCGCACGCACAGCTCGGAGCGCCCCTACAAGTGCACGGTGTGCGAGAAGACCTTCAAGCACCGCTCGCACCTGGTGCGCCACATGTACGCGCACTCGGGGGAGCACCTCTTCAAGTGCAACGTCTGCGAGCTGCACTTCAAGGAGTCCTCGGAGCTGCTGCAGCACCCCTGCACGCCGAGCGGCGAGCGGCCCTTCCGCTGCGGGGAGTGCCAGAAGGCCTTCAAGCGCCCCTCGGACCTGCGGCAGCACGAGCGCACGCACAGCGAGGAGCGGCCCTTCAAGTGCGACCTGTGCCAGATGAGCTTCAAGCAGCAGTACGCGCTCATGCGCCACCGGCGCACGCACAAGGCCGAGGAGCCCTTCAAGTGCAACCTGTGCGAGAAGGGCTTCGTGCAGCCCTCGCACTTGGTCTACCACCAGCACGTGCATGGCATCGAGAACCTCTTCAAGTGCAACGTGTGCCAGAAGGGCTTCAACCAGTCCTCAGAGCTGCTGCGGCACAAGTGCGTGCAGAACGCGGAGCGGCCCTTCAAGTGCGCGGTGTGCAACAAGTCCTACAAGCGCGCCTCGGCGCTGCAGAAGCACCAGCTGGCCCACTGCGCCGAGAAGCCCCTCAAGTGCACGCTCTGCGAGAGACGTTTCTTCTCCTCCTCCGAGTTCGTGCAGCACCGCTGCGACCCGGCCCGCGAGAAACCCCTCAAGTGCCCCGACTGTGAAAAGCGCTTCAAGTACGCCTCGGACCTGCAGCGGCACCGGCGCGTGCACACGGGCGAGAAGCCCTACAAGTGCCCCTCGTGCGAGAAGGCCTTCAAGCAGCGCGAGCACCTCAACAAGCACCACAGCGTGCATGCCCGGGAGCAGCAGTACAAGTGCATGTGGTGCGGCGAACGCTTCCTGGACTTGGGCCTGCTGCAGGAGCACAGCGTGCAGCACACGGCCGAGGGCGCCTACCAGGTGGCCGCCTGCTTGCCCTGAGTCCCCCGCACGGCGGTGGCTGCCAGCTTGCATGCGACGCTCCTGAGCCTCGGCCTCCCCTTCCTCCTCCTCGCTTGTAGGCGTCCTCCAAGGAGTCGTGGTGGGATGGGGAGGTAGGGCGGGCGGTTGGGGCAACTCTCCGCTGGCCTCTGCGGTTCGTGTGCCACCTACGTGCCAGGGGATGATGCGAAAAGCTTGGTGGGCAGGGAGAGCAAAGCAGGTAGGCGAGGAGAGGAGGTGACGCCTGTAGTTGCCTGTTGTCCCCTGGACTGTAATTCACGTTGTATCTGCAGCTCCAGGGCTGAGAGATGGCCGGTCTCTGCCCAGATGCCCTTCACGCGGGCCCTCTATCTGCTGTCCTGCCTAGCAAGGTCAGGAGAGGGATCAGGGCAGCGCCAGCTCTCCCTTTTCCATGGCCGCGCTGCTCGGTGACGCAGTGGAAGGTTCCCACCGCTGGCATCCCCCAGCGTCGTCACTCTGAGTCCCCTTGAGCGACTCGGGAGGACCCTTTCTGGTCGGTAGCACTCATTGACTCCCCTGCTCGCCCTGGAGCGTAGGAAGGGCAGAGCCGCGGGGCTGCACGGGCCCCGGACGCACTTTGGCCTCGCTGCTTTGGGCTCTTGAGGGTCGGGGCGAGCCTGCCCGGCCGCGCGCGGCAGCCCGGGGAGCAGCAGCAGCGCAGGGGGGGCTCCGCTGCCCTCCTGGCCTTCACTGGCCACTCCTTGAGGGCCCTGGCGCTCTGCTGAGGTCCGACCCGTGAGCCCTTCGCCCCTGGCGCTGCCCGGGCCGCTCGCCCACCTCCGTGGGGGCTCGAGCAGAGGGGCAGGCCAGCAGCTCAACACTAACCGGTGAGAAAACACTACTACTAACCTGCAGCTTCCGCAAGGAGCACGGCCGCCGGCACCCCTGAGCCAGGGGCTGCGCGCCCGACTTGCCGGAGCAAAACAGCTTTGGAGCCTGGTGCCCATGGGGAGCGCTCCGGGGGAAGGGACGGCTGGCAGGAGCTAAGGAAGGAGCATATTTTCCGCCCCCACTCTTATGGGAGTCCCTTTTCACCCCTCTGCTCTTTCTTTATCCCTTCTGTATTTTTTCAGGTTTTGCACAGTTCCTGTAAGCAAACATCTCTTAAAAACAAATCCCTGTCCCTTAGCAAGATCGGTGCAGCCTCAGGTGTCTTCCTCTGCAGGATGTGTGGCCTTCTCCTGCCCAAGAGCCTTTTCTGTGCCAGGTAGATGCCTTCAAGGTTGCAGGAGCGTAACCAAGTTGCCCCCACCCGGCCTTCCCTTCTCCATCTTCGCCGGCCTTCCTGAGTCAGGAGCCTCCTGGCTGCTCTCATGAATGTCCCCAGCAGATACAGGCAGAGGAACCTCGCAGAGGGCCAGGCTGCCCCCGCTTTGCTCGATGCAGACGCTGACCTGGAAGCGGGAGGAAGGTTTTTAGTCGCCCTCTGGGGCGTTACCACAGGTGCCCCAACAGCCCAGCACAACCGGGGCTGAGGCTCCTTCACGTGCAGCTTTAAGGAGTTTAATATAAACCTGCTTCCTGCTGCCCGAGGAGGAGGGACCGACGCTCATCTTACTCCATGCTGCCTCAAAAGATGTAGAACTTCCTACCAGTTTGTTTTCTGACTGCGTTTCTTTTTTTTTTCTCTTTCCTTTTTTTTTGCCTTTTTTTAAGCAGTTTGTTAATATTCATTAAAAAAAAATCCTGTATAGTTTAACTTGATGTCGTATTGGATTTTTCTTTTTGAGAGACATGTGATAACCTGGATTTTTAAAGCCCTCTCCGCTTCTAGATAGCTGGGTTTGATGTTTGCTGTGTAGCGAGTTCGGTGCGTGCTTAGCGATAGGACTGCGAGCGGATGTAGAGCGCGGAGAGCCACCGCTGCGTGCAGCGCTCCGAGGAACCTGCAGATCTGCGTCCCCAAGGCCAGCGCCTACGGGAAGACCAGGGCACCGAGCGCCCGCGGGTCCACGGTGACTTGGTCTCCTCGTCCTGTTTTGCTGCCCTACAACACGAATCCAGGAAAGTCTTGGCGGTCGAGAGGTTCGCAGGGATGGCGCCGGTCCCTAGACCGCAGTGTGAGTGGGTAAATCGCACACAGAATCCCAGAATGGTTGAGATTGGAAGGGATCTCTAAGATCATCTAGTCCGACCCCCTGCTAAATGTCCCTGCATCT